GGGATGGGGTGGGCTGTTTGTTTTAGGCAGGTGATAAAATCGCAGTTAACGAGCTGATAATTCGTTCGTGTTTGTTTTAAAAGACAAATTGTAAAGATTAATCAGGCGGCTTGATTTATGGCGAGGCAGACCCCGGCGCTGCCCGGCCAGGGCTCCCTGAAGCCCCCGTCTCGGGTTACCCGAGGCCCGGCAGGCGAAGGAAAACAAAAGGGGCGAGCGGGTGGCGGCGGCGGCTCCGGCTCCTCGGGAGCGGCTGCCCCGGCGCCCGCCCCTCCTCCGGCCCGGGGGTCCGGCTACCAACTCCCGCCGCCGGGTGCTCCCCTCCGGCGGCCGGCGCCTCTCCTCGCACCCACCTCTCGCCTTCTGCAACCCCTCCCATTAAAACCCTTTGTAAAATAAATGACCCCTCCAGCAGGGATGAAAGATTTCTGCTGAGAGCCCGGCTGAGCTGGGAGATTTCCTAACCGGCCGGCTCGCAGTATGTTGGTTTATTTTGTTCTATTTTATAATTTTATCTTTTTTTTTTTTTTTTTGTTCGTTTGTTTTTAATTCCCGACGTGACCCATCCCCGCTGCCTGGCTCTGGCGAACCGGGTGCCGGCTCTGGTCTCGGGCGCTCAGCGCCCCGGCGGCACGGCTGAGGTTTTTAATTGAATTAATGCACCCACCGGGAGCAGCAGCGAACTGCGCTGGCTGCTGGAGGCGAGCGGCTTAGCTCCGCTCCGCAGCCCGCCGCTCACACGGCTGGTTAAGCAGCTCTTCCCTCAATTTTCTGCCAAAGCTTCCCCGGAGAGGGTCCGGCCGGGCCCCACTCCTTCACCCCGCGCCTGCCAACCCCCTATTTTACCTTCTTTCCCCGCTTCTTCCCCCGGGCACTACGGGCTCCGTTTTATTACCTTTATTTTTATTATTATTATTATTATTGCTGTTGCAATTTATTTTTCTCTTTTAATAAGGGAGGTTTCCCAGATCTGGAAGCACAACTGGTTATTTTGATTTGATTGACAAGTGATGTCATATCATTAAGGGAGGGGGGAGACGACAACATGCTTTAGCAACAGTTAGTGGTGCCATGTGATAGAGTTGACACCTATTCTTGGGCAGAGGAGAAGGCAGAAAACAAATAACCCGGCGCCGCACACGGACCATTTATTTACATGTCCGGAGAGGGGATTCTTCCTCTTTTTTTCCCCCTTCACTCTGGGTATTTGGATCTGGGAAAAAATGTACCTGAGGAGAACCCGCAGACCCCACGGCACGTTCCTGCAATCGCCCCTTCCTGGGGTGCCCCCGGCGACCCCCAGGGCCACACTGTGTCCCGGTGAACGGAGACCGGAGGGCCGAGACCTCCCGTGCAGCGTTGCCCGCAGCCTCCCCGAGCTGCAACCCGCAGACGCCAGCAGGGAGGGCAGAAAAACCCCGTGAAAAGAAAGAAGAGGGAGAGAAGTGCTCGGCGCTCAGCAGCGCACGGGGCCGCGGCGCTCCCGGTGCCGGCGGGCGGTGTGAGAGCCCCGGGCGGGCTGGGGAAGGCGGCTGCTCCCGGCGGGGAGGGGGCTGGGAGGGTCTGCTGTGGGCGACCCGCCCCTGCTCCCCCGCAGGCTGGGGAGCGGCCGGCTCTGCCAGCGGCTCCCACCCGCCCGCAGGTAGGAGCCCCGGCCAGCCGCTCCCTGCGAGCAGCCCCCACACCCCTGTCGGGTGTATTTCGTTAGATTTTTTTGGCGGGGAGAGAAAGTTCTTGCTTTCTGCCTTAAAAAAAAAAAAAAAAAAAAAAAAAAAAAAAAATCGCGGTGTTTTCGGCCCTCCGGTCTTGTCTCCTCTTTGCTTTTCTTCTCCCCCGCTTCCCCCGTCCTGCGTTACTAGCTCGTATTAATGGCTCCTGATAGGGCTATAAAGTGACACAGTTACCTCGTAACCACAAGACCCTTACTTAAACTGCATTAAGGAAAAACAAAAAGAAAAACAAAAACTAAAAGAAAAAAAACACCGCTAGAGATAAGACTAGGGGAATAAATCACGGAAAATTTAATTTTTTGCTTGTTTTTGTAAATAAGCTATCCTCCATCCCGCAGAGGATTTCTGCGGGGTTTGTACCCCACCGTGGGAACCCGCGGTCCCAGTCTCGCTCCCGACTCGCTCCCGCCTTCACCTGCGCTTTGTCCGCAATTTGCCTGCTGCCCGCAGCCCCCCGGCTCGCTAGGCTGCAAAAGAAAGGGGAGGAAAAGCCTCAAGCAGACCCCAGCCTGCCCACAAAACCGCCTTTTGTGTAAGTTCCCGAAGAGAAATGCGTGCGTGGGGAAAGGGAAGGTTACATACGCGCAGCTTTGTCCAGAAAAAGGTATAATTTTCTTTTTCAGGAGCTGCCAGAAAAGATTTCGTTTTCAGGATCTCTCTTTAATTTGATGTGTATATATATAATTTTTTTTCCAAGATTATTTCGGAAGGAGCTGTTGTAGGAGGGAGGAACGAGGCCGATCCCGCAGGTTTGATTTTTTTCTCTTCAGGCAAAACTTTGGTGGGGAGAGACCGACCCGGCACGGAGAACGGGACTCGACTCACGCCCGGCAACGGCGGTGCCCCGCAGCCGCCTGCCCCGAGCCGCGGGGCTGAGCCAGGCCGGAGCTTACACTTCCGAGGAAAAAATATTTGCGTTTAATAAAGATGCTCCGTGCGCCGGGGAAGAACAATCCCCGCCACCGAAACTCGCACTCCCTTAGTGAAATCGCTTTTCTTATTGAAATCGCACCAAAACCAGGCAGGCTTCGCTCCTGGACGCTTCTCTCTTTTTATTTTTTTTTTCTTGCCTTCCAGCCTGAGCACCCCAAAGCAAAAGGAGGATAAAGAGGGGAACTTTGCACATACAAAAACAGAAGAAAAAAAAAAAGGCGATGGGGTGAAAGAGTCGGCGGAGAGGAGCGGCCGTGCCCCGATGTGCCTGGGTAATTTTAAATCATGCAAAGCCCCGTAAAGCTGCCGCACGGGACTGGGACGGGAGGACTCCCCGGCAGGCAGGTGCAGAGAGAGCGTGGCCGGGCCCTGCCGGCTTTCGGGGCAGAACAAACCCTCGCATCTTTTTTTTTTTTTTCTTCCTTTTTCTTTTTTCTTTTTTTTTTTTTTTTTTTTTTTTTTTTTTTAATGCCCAAATCTGCCAACAAAGGGAGAGAGAAGATAGGATGTAGCTGCGGGGAGGGGACGCAGGGCTCTCTGCACACCCTGTCTCCGGGAAATCTCTGCCTGGCCGCCCTGGGTGAAATGCAACTTTCCAAGATGGAGATTTAAATAATCACCCCAGTGACAATGGGAAAGAAAAAAAAAAAAAATCAAAACAACCAACCACGGCCCGGCGGCCCCGCTGCCCGCGGGGTGCGGTGCGGGGAGAGCCCCGCCGCCGGGCAGAGCCGGGGCAGCCCCGCGGTGCCCCCGGGCAGACGGGCGCTGCACCGGGCTCCGCCCGGCCGGCTGGGAGGCGGCAGCCCGGGAGGTCCGGCCGTGCTGGGGACATTTTTTTCGTTCTTTACAAACCCTGCCAGATTCGTCCCTGGGGAAAACTGCCCCGAGAGAAGCGCTCCCGCAGCGGGACCCGCGCCTCGGTGCCGGCAGGGCCGCGCAAAGCCGCGCTGCCGCGGCCCCTTACCTTGCCTCTCTCGCCTATCCTCGCTTTTCTTTCAGTTCTCCGCACGGTGCAGGGGAAGCGCCAGTTCTGCTCCTCGCGGGGCCGTTCCGCGGGCTCGGGAGGGGTTCGGCGGCCGGAGCCTCCCCGCCTGGCCGCGCCGGGAGCGGCGGCTGTGCCGCGGGCGGAGGGTGCGCGCAGCCCGGCGGAGGGGCTGCCGCCGTGAACTGCCTGAAACTGGCAGCAGCTCCGAGCTGAGCCCTTTTTTTTTTCCTCCGTTCCCTCCTTCCCCCCTTCCCTTCCTCCCTCCTCCCTCCCTCTCCTTTCCTCTCTCCCTTCTTTCCCTCCCCTTCTCTCTCACTCTCCTGCATTCACGGATGGCACAGCGAGCCACTGTGTATTTATGTACATAATACGGCAGCTCGTCCCCTCCACTTCATTTGCATCATTACAATATCTGTACAAGCACATCACATTGTCTGTTGCTTGCACCTTTTGTTACGGTTGCTGTCACAGTCTACGCGACTTGACTTTCATATTTTAAATGAATTGATATTATACCAACAACACGCACTCACATCCCAGGCGCAGGGAAACCGGGCTCCGGCGCGCCGGGCGCCGCAGCCCCAGCCTCTCCCGAGCCTCTCCTTTCTTCCTCTGATCCCAGGGAAGGTGGGCTGGGGGGGAGCCACTTCGTAGGATCAATTATTCCTATAAATTACTCCTAGTCGTATTAATTCTCTTTCCCTCTCTAGTGAAGGAAATGCTTTGGGAGTCTTGGATTTTTTTTTTTTTTTCCCCCACAGACCAGCCTGGTTTTTGCATAACCTCATGCTTCTTCTCACACCTTTCCCTTCCAAATTCAGCCTTTCGGGCTATGCACCTGCACGTAAGTGAGGCAGCAAGAGAAGCTGGAAGAGGCACAAGCAGATATTACACGCCGAGTCGTTGTTATAGCTAGGAAACAGACGGTAAAATACATATTTCGTAGAGCACTAAGAAATCCAGCCAGAACGAATATTTTCGGAAATGTTTGCGCGCCCCAGCCCTGGCTTGGCAGCCCTCACCTGCCGGGTATTTCCCTGCCGGTGCGTGTGTGTGCGGGGCTGGGGGCTCCCCGCACCCGCTGCCTCCGTGGGCTGACGGGCGCGGGGCCGCGGAGAGGCGGCTCGGGGGGCGCGGCGCGATCCTCCAGAGGGGGGGACATGCGGGACCCCCGCCCCAGGCTGCAGGAAAACCATATTAATACAGAAACAAAGGCCGGACCGGCCGGTGGGGGCCCTGCGGGTGGTGGGGTAACGAAATATGGTTCGGGGAGGGAAGGAGAAAAGTTTCGCGGGAGAGGAATTATCATCATAATGGAGGTAAAAATGTGAGCAGGGAAAGGAGGGGGGGGGGGATCCTATTCTGCTGGCATTTTCTGTCTGTCTTTGTGATATGGTTCGGGGGAAAAAGGGTCCTTGATATGCGACAGATAATTCTTATCAGCCCCACGCAGCCCATTTCCAAAGTAAGTGTTTTAATTACTCCTCCTGTATTACCCTTCATCCTCTGAGAGAAGATACATCACCACCAGATTTATGCAGGGGAAAAATACAAAAGAATGTGGTATTAAAACACATACATACATATATCCCCTCTTTTTTCCCTTGTGCCCAGGAAGAGGGAGACGCGTCGGCAGCGGCGTCCTGGGATCGCCCGGCACGGAACGACTCCAAAACGAGGAACTGTCGCTCAGGCGAAAAAACTACGGGAAAAGTGGGGTTTGAAGGCTGCAGATTTTTCCCCAAGCGGGGTCAGGCGGGGGTGTGCGAGCCGGGGGCTCATGGGGCTGAGAGCGGAGCAGCGCCCACCCGAGCCTCACCGCGCTGCTCTCCAGCCGCGCTGTCCCGGGACAGCCGGGGTCACCCCTCCACGTGCCACCAGAGACACTGGGGGTCGGACGGACAGGGAGTCAGGATTTTCCCCTCATGCTGGAAGAGAAGGATGTTTTTCTTTCCTGTTAAGCTTTCGTACTAAAGATGTCATCTGAAAGTCTGGGAGGAAGGGGGACTGTGCTCTGCTCTTTTTCACGGTAACAACCATATCATATTGAAAAATATGATAGACAGTGGGGGAAGATTTCCTCCCCCATTAAAAAAAAAAAAAAAAAAAAAAAAAAAAAAAAAAAAAAACCCCCACCTTTTTAAAATTTATTAAAAAAAAAAAAAAAAAAAAAAAAAAAAGAATTTTAAAAGAGAAGAAGCAGCACCAGCAGCAAGGAGAATATAGGCTCAGCAGCTCTCCAGGTTAGCTTCCTTATTATTACTATCCAGGGGTAATTTTTCATCTCTGCTAGCTAATCTTTGTTCCTTGTGAAGATAATGAATAGCCCAATCCTTATCTCCTGGGCTCCTGGAGGCTGCTGTAGAATGGGGTTGAACAGGGTTGAAAATTGGTTCCAAAGTGCTGCTGAATAAATGGTGTTCCTTATCTCTCGCTTCCAGATTATCGGAACCCTTTCAAAACTCACACAACAAATACAGCCACCGCATCTAATGCATCATTTACCAGAGCAGATCTCCGCGTTTGATCGGCAGATAGGCAAAATCTATGTATTCCTTGCTTTACTTAGTATGCATGGATGCGGGGCTGCTGTGCACCAGGGCTGCCCCCAGCCGGGCCCGGGACACCCCCGAGGCTCTTGGCACACGCGGGTCTTCACTGTGCATTCCGTGCGGTGACAAAGTGTCCCCTGGCCATCCCCAATCCAGGGCAGCAGGGTGGGACAGCAGCTCACCGTGCAGGGTGCTGCCACACAGCCTGCTTGGAAATTTGGGGTTGCTCTGCTGAGGCACCGGTGGATTTGCAGGGAAGGGAGAAGAGTTGTGAACATCATCCCGGGCACCTCAGGCACCTGCTCGCACTCACTCCTGCACCCAGAGCCTCCTTCACCTGCATCCCTGGGCAGGCAGTGACTCAGGGGTGATGAAGAGTGTGACAGCACCTCTGTCCCCACGAGAAAGCCACGTCCAGGCTCAGCTGTGTCCTAGTCCTGCCCCAGCCCTCAGCAGTCTCAGGCTCCAGCTGGGTCAATCTAGTGAAAACTCCCAGGGCTCCCCCCAGCTTGTTCCCCCCAAACCCTGCCCATGGAGCCCTGGCAGTCCCTTGGGTCCTCCACAGGCTGGGCTGGGTTATCCCTCCAGCTCCCAGCCACAGGCAGAACAGGGCACCTGAGACAGCCCAAATTTGGGAAGAAATTGGTGATTCTGAGGGACAAAAATAAACCTTACAGAAAGGGAGTCATTTGCTCCTAGAGTTAGTGTGAAATCTGTCCCTTCCAGCTCAGGACATTATCAGATTTTCCTTCCTTTCTTTCTCTCTTCCTCTCTTTCTCTAATTCGTGTTTCTTTTTTCTTTTTTTTTTCCCCCTCCCAAAACCTATCTATATAACAATAAATGTCTCCCAGTCTGGGTGTGCAGCCCCCAGCTCCAGGTCGGGAGATCCCCCAACCCAGAGCCAGGGACAGATGTCCCTTTGGCTCACCCAACCCTTCTTTCGTCTGGCAGTACCTGAGCTTGTGTCCAGGAACCAGACAAGGAAATATTTTATTCTGCAGCACATGACATTGCCAGCACTGCCCTGGAGCCCCAGGCCTGGGGGACAGCAAGATTCTGGCTTGGGGACAGGACACCCACAGTCTCCTGGTCCCCTCTGCCTGTCCAGCCAAGCTCATCTGGCCCCTGCCTGGAAAGAAAGAAACTTTCATGGGATGTTGCAGGCAAGCAGCAGCCCCTGCCCGCGCTTGAAAGTTTTGCGAATGTTCAACTTGTACTAATTTTGTATGGCTGTATTCACAGTTGTTCTCTGTAAAAAATGGACCTGTGTTAGTTTATTAATAACCTAAACATTACGCATTAAAGACCTATGAGTGACACAAGATGACAAAAAGCTGTATTTTTCCAATATACACAAGCACACATTTAATAACCTTCTATTGCATCTCAGCTAGGCCTTCTCTCTGATGGTTCCCATGGCAACTGAGATAAAAAAGCAGCCATTTTCCATATCTCTATGAAAGTCTATTATATTGCAGGATTAGTTCATCTTCTGCTAAGGTCAAACACAAAGTCATACAACCTGAAATATTTAGAATCCATGTACATTCATTTTTTTATATGCCCTTTCATTTTCCACAAAAGACTGGGCTCCTCTGAGGTTTTATTCCCCAGAAAATGCTAAGCAAAGCAATAAAAAAATCATGATTAGCAGCTGATGAAAAGTTCAATTGTTTTTTTCTCTCTCTCTTTTTTTTTCCCTGTCTCTCTTTTTTTTTTTTTTTTTTTTTTTCCCTTTAAAAAAACCTACTATTGTTGGGCAGATAGTCCCTTCCCCATTTATCTCTATCAGCAGCCGTGATTGCAGCCGATACCTGCCGCCTAATTGGGCTGCGAGCGATTCGCAGGCGGACGGCGGCACCTTCTGGCAGCGGCGGGCGCGGCGCGGCGGAGCCGGGGCACGGCGGGTGTCGGAACCGGGCGGAGCACGGCGGGTGTCGGGGCTGCCCTGCTCAGCAGCCCCGGCCCCGAGAGCCCGGCTGAACCCGAGCTCGCCCGGGGCTCCGGGTGCTCCTCACGGGTCCGGCCCCGGGACGGCACCGCTCGGGGCTGCGCCGCATGGTAACAATCCACAGAATCCCGCTGCGGGCTGGGGCACTCCGGAGTGTGCGCCTGCTTCTTTCCGCGGTTATTAAACGTTTTTATTTAGTAGTGCAAGTAGGTTCACAAAGCCTTTCACACTAAAGTTTTAGCTATTGCAGGCTCGCGGGGGAAAAAAAAAAATTAAAATAAAGTGTTACACACATCTGAGTGGCTCCTGTGAGCCCTGATCTCTCTGCAGGAAAGCGAAGTCACTTTTCTTTTTTTATGAAGGAGTTGGCAAGGTAATTCAACCAGCTCCTGGTGACACCTCGAAATGCAATAAAGTAAAACCTGGGCAGCCTTCAGACAGTTTGAATGGTGACAAACATGTTATCACCCATGCCATGAAGAACTATGGTTCACTCTTTTTCCAAGGTCACTCCTGAAAACCTGGGAAATCAGGGGAGAGAATTTGTGCATGTGGCCATTCACACTTGTGGCTTTGTTCACAGACATATGCTGCAATGTGACATTCATTCCAGCCCCCTTTAATGTGGAAAAGTAGACACGGGAAATATGTGGAAATGAGGAGAAGCTTGAGTGACAAAAGGATGGAAGAATTTTTTTTTCCCCTTCTTTTCCCCATTCCTCCATCCCCAGGAGGCCCCACAGGGGTGTCCCAGTGGCCCCAGCCATGCTGTTGGAGCAGCTCAGGAGGGGCCAGGTGGGGGGTTTAGCAGGGATGGTGCATTCCAGTCTGACCCTGGAGATGATCTACACCTGCTGCAGAGAGGGGCAATGGGACTGGGAGACAGGAGCTGCGGTGGGCAAAGCCAAATCCCAGCCTGGCCCTGCGTTCCCCCACTGCCTCAGTTTCCCCCAGCCGGGGTGAGGGCACAGAGGTGTTGCCAGAGGTCAGCACGTGCCCAGGGATGCTCTCAATAAGCTGTTTGCAGGGAGGTGTTGCACAGCAGCTGCCAGAGCCATGCCCACCTTCTGAAGGCAGGGAGCATCCCCTGCTCTCAGCAGCACACCTGGGAGGGGATGCCCCAGCTGGGCACCTACTAACCAGAGCACCTCTGCACCCATAAAAGCCCACACCTGCACCTTCCTCTCCCCTTCCTCTGCTCTCTCCTTCCTTCTGCTCCTCTGGGGGCAGAGCAGGTGGCTGTGTTTTTAGAACTAATACAAACCTACATATTTTTAAACTTTAGGTCCTGGGATTTGGATCTTTGGTGGTTTGGGGTTTTTTTTAAGGTGGATGTATTTTTTAGTCTCAAAGTTTGGACTAAAGAGAGGAAGCTGGAAATGTGTCCTGAGCTGAATATTTGAAATTTGAGGAACTGAGCCCATCACCAAACACAGGTGGGTTTCTTTTTTAAGTCTTGTGGTTTCTTTTCTCCCCTGCTTCATCCTTGCCCTCCTGGTCAGCAGCTGACATGGTGTTTGCATACTGTGATCCTGAGAAAGCCTTTAGAAATCTGGGAGTAATTGCATCCTTCAGCTAAAAAACCATGTCTGAGTACGGTGTTAGCACCCTCTTCTTGGGTAGTGGTGTTGGTCTTTTCTCCCAGCTCTGGCTCTCTCCTGACAGCTGCTGCTGTGACAGGCAGGGGCTAAGCTGCCCCAGTGCTGGTAGTGTGGGTGTTATGGAGGGTCTGTGACAGAGCTCACTGTGAGCACTCCTGTCCTCCAGCAAGTGGGGATGTTTGTGTGCTGCTGCCCACTGGGGCTGCTGGGAACTGGGACGGTGCTGGGTACCTTGCTGAGTGCTGCTCAAACTCAGCAAAAATGGGGAAAACAAGTCTCCTTTGGGCTGCAAATATTTAGATTATTTCTAGTGTCCAGTTAGTGCCGGGGGGAGCCTGGAGGATGTGGGGCTGCTGGTTTTTTCCAGGAGCAGGGTGGCTGTTCCTGCTGGGAGAAGGGGGCTCCTTCCAGCCCCAGGGGCTTGGGAGGCTTGGCAGTGCCAAGGGGGTGCTCTCTGCTCCCCTCCCCAGTGAGCCAAATGCTCTGTGGTTCGTTCAGGGCCATGGTGAATGCCCCAGTTTGGCCCCTGGTTGTTTTTCTGTCTCTCAGTGACATCTGGTGCATTGCTGTGAGTTCCCAGAAAGAGGCCCTGATTGAGGATGTCAGGGTAGGAAGAAAGGAGCTGACCTTGCTATTAAAAGGAAACAGAAATGGAAATGTTTCAGGCTGTTTCTAGCAGACATGTCTGGGAAGAAATTCTCCTTGCTCTGTTCATCAGGCCCTCATGAGCAGCTTTTCTCTGCTAATTGTTCACTTGATACTACACTGGAGATGCTTGATTTATCCTTGTCCCCATTGTATGCCTACAGAGATTTTGTGGAGCTTGAGAGGGAGCTGAGTCCTACTGATCCCTCATGACTTTGTAGGTTTCTGGTCTTATAGTGGCACCAAGAGCCCTGCTGGTCTTGGATCAAAGATGTTGGTCTTGAATGGGAAGAGTTCGGGCCCCAGTCCTGCTTTGAGTCTTAAGCAGTCCTGTTGGATCC